AATGCCAGAGATACCCTCGTCTCTCTCTCTCCCCACCTTTTCTCCTCTTTCTCTCTCTTCCCATTCTCAGAGAATCTGTCACCTCTCATTCTCTCTTCTCCTCCCATCCTCCTCTTTCTCTCTCATCCTTATTTCCAGAGAAATCTTTCTCTCTCTCCCCTTTATCTCTCTTCCATGTTCCTTGATGAGGTAATGAATGAAGTAAGATGTATAAAAATTAGAAAGGCCTCATACCATCATTCTACATTGCCTCAATATGCTGCTACCTGTAATTGTCCCCATAAAGAGTTGTAATTGCCCCCAACCCATAGAGCTTCATGACCATTTTTGTTCTTGAAATCTAGATTTTCTGGGCCACAGAGTTAGCAAAGAATGCCTGCCACAGCTTCTCAGTTGAGCCACTTTGATTTCTAAATCTAACACCATAATTGGCTAACTGTTTCTTGAGGAAGAAACTTTTCTCAGATAAATTTATTTCACCAACAATAACCTTGTAACATGCATGTTATCATCAAGAGAGAAATCTTAGTTTTTTTGGTTAAGACAGGAGGGTTTCGATTGGGTGGTAAAAAGAGATTAAGAGGGCGAATTTGGGTGTTTGCTATAAAGTGTGTTTGCCAGAGAGAGAGGGAGGAGGGAAGGGATGATAAAAAGCAATGATTCAAAATTGCTGATTGGATTGAAACCGCATAATCCAGATCAGGAATTGTTGGCACCTAACAGCTTCCTGAAAAATATTAGTAACCGGCAGGTTTCCCCCTGGACATATCCAGTTCTGGCTAGTTGTCTGATAAAACCGGCCTTACTTTTTTTTTTTTTTTAAAAATTATTTTTAATAACCGGTTCAGTAAATCGGATCGCCAATCCATATGGTCAATCTGTTAAACAAGATCAAGAATTTGAGTAGGCTATCCAGGTCATTAATCTGTCTTTTTAAACCTTGGATAAAAGTGTTGTAATTTGACTTTTTAGAGTTCATTCTACAAGCTAACAAGAACGGGGAGGTAAATTGGCATTTTTTAAAAATACGACTTCAATACACAACAATACTATGTATTTGAAATACATGGAGTCATTCCCCAATTAAACAATATTGTCCACTTCAACCTTTATAAAAATCATAATGCATTTACATTGCAAACTATATATTATTAACTTGAACATTTATTTATTTGTTAAAGGAAAATGTTTATATAAAGTTGTAACTTTATTTGTAGAAGTAAGGTTGCATATCTATATCTTCCATTTTATCTAGACATTGTAAATTTGACACTATCTCCAAAGACATGCTACACTTAAGCACTATCTTAAGATACATACTAAATCTACACAGTCTAGCAAAATAGACCGTGTGAAGTATCACAGCCTTACTTGTATAAGTAATGTTGCAACCTCATATAAACAATACTCTTTGTTAAATTTTATTCCATAGTAAATAATATTTTAAATATATTAAATGGCAATAATTACATGATAAGTTTTCAATTAAACATACCATTACCCTATGGTGATAAAACCCCTTATTGATAATACTGAAAAGATTTACTGCTACGGGAGTATACCATGTAGTTACTCTCTCGGGGTAAAACTCAGCAATATCATTTTGGACCCAATTCTGAAGATATAACCTTTAGGATCTAATAACTGACCTTAAAGAAAGAAAAGTTAAATAGGACTCTCTATGTGCCTTGTACAAATTAATGTCCCAAGATTGAATAGAAACAGTCAATTTTCGGAGGGGAAGATCTAGATGATAAAGAACTTAAAATTGGCTACTCCAAACTTCAAACTTAGGAGTTCCACTTCATTAGCCTGATAGGATGGAAGGGTTCCTTTCAAGGTCCATAAAATTCGACCTAAATGATTCCCAAGGACTCTCTCATGACCTGCTATCTGCCCATTTTCTCTAAAACTCCCATCAAAATTCAGTTTTACTCATGAGTAATGAGGGGGTTTCCAAACGCCAATTTTACCCATGAGTGATGAGGGGGTTTCCACAATGCAGCTTTCCCAATTCTGTATTTACGAAGCTAGAGAAGTTGATGGGAAGTGCCCCAAAAAGTTCTTTTGGGATGTTCTTAAATGAAAGATATGTTTGTACCCAAAAGATTGTATCCTTAAGGATTTGGGATGTGAGTTGATAAACTTCTTTAGACTTAATGTAAAAAACCCTAGCATTTCATTCTTTCCAGAAATGCCACAACACCACTCCAACCGATATTTTCATTAGGACCAAACCCAACTTAGAGAAATGCAGGGATGAGATTTGTAATAAGAACTGGTGCATAATGTTGAGGATTGATGATTTGTATTATGAAGAAACAGATTTGTCAAGGTATAGTCAAAATGATAATTTCGGAAGGCCGTTAAAAGCTTGAAGAGCCGTTAAAAAGAAAACTAAAAATAATAATTATATTAAAAAAGCATTTGGACCGTTAGTTAAATTTGTTTTTAAATAGGCCACCTACTTGCATCCATCATTAAAATGGGTGCTTTATAACTCAGGACCACATGCCGTAGAAATGCACTCCAGCCTGCATGAAACAACTTTCCAAAAATAGTTGTCACTAAAGTTTTGGGGCAAAGTCATGTCCTCAAAATTGTACAGTACTACAGAAGGGCTATATCATGGATATTTTTAAGGGCAAACAGAGGCCATGGGCCCTATGGACTGGAATAGAAGGATCACCTGTTGGAAATTAAATTGACTTTGGGACCCTAGCAATTAATTTGCATATAACTTCTTCTTATGAATGCCATTCTAATTATCAATTCCAATGTCGCTAAAATTTATTGCTATCGGTTATTTTCCACTTATACTTGTTGGTATATCATGCGTTCTGGTTATAAATACCTGCCAATCACACGAGAAGAGCCTAGTAACGTTCCTCTACCCTCTTTTTTGGGTTTCAACCAGTGGAAAATATTGAAAATCAGTGTTTGAAAAATCAGATCGGATGAGTGTTTGAGCCGGTCACTCACCGGTTCTAAGTTGAACGGTGAACAGTCTGATTGAGATGGGTTCGACGGGTAAAATAACGGAAAAAAAATTCAAAAAATCTTAAAAATCAAAATGAATTAACTTGTTAATAAAAAATTGACAAATATTTTATGTAGTGTGATGAAATTTTCAAAGGGGTATGAATACTAAGAGTTTTGCTCCTATCTGAGTGGAAGATAATCATTTCACTGTATAAAATGCACTGAATTTAAATATTGTACATTTTTTTACAAATTCACAATATTTATGATTTAAAACTAATAAAAAAACACACTATTTAAATGTTGATTAATAAAATGAAATTAATGAAGAATTGAAATTATTGGAAATATTGAAAATTTGATTTTTTTTGTAAAAAAATTACAAGATGATGCAAAAAATAAAAATAAAAATAGAATTGAATGGAAATCAGGAAAACAACCCAAAGATTATATAAATCATCTAACAAAATCTAGGAAAGAACACTAAGAAAAATTAAACATAATATATACCAAGAATGTTTTTCAAATATCTGAGACGTCTTTTCAAAAATTAGAGTACCAAGCAAAAAAATATTGATTTCATTAAAAAAAAAAAGAAAAATTATGTGAATAAATTCGAATACTATCTAAACTTCTAAAGCATAAACCTGAACAAAATATGAGCCATTCATAATAAAATAAAATTTCTTCAAATATTTGAGAAATTTTTTAAATAATTGAGCGTAGATCTGTTCAAATTTTGTATTTGATCTAGCAAATTTATAAACGGCTATGCTAGTGGGATCAATTACAAGTAGTCTGAAACAAATGCCAAATTTCTTGGTTGAGATATGAGAGGGAATAACAAAGAATGGCGAATTATGGCTTTGGGTCTCAAAAAACCTAAATTTTGGATGCTAAAAGGTATCTGTCGAACCAATTTATCCTGGGCTTTGCTAGTGGAATAAATTATCAACAAATTGAAATTAATTTCGAATTTTTTGGTTAATCTTTTAGGAAGAACAACAAAGAATGGTGGATTTGGGTTTCAAAGGGTAAAAACATATAATATTTGGATCCTAACCTTACTTGAGTAAAAAATTTCAACCAATTTCTTTGGGGCTTTGCTGGTGGGCTCATTTACCAATATTTTGAAGCAATTTAAAGGTTTTTGGTTTGAGACTTGAGGGATAACAAGAAGGAATGTTGGATTTGGGAATGTGAAGTATTGATCTCAAAACCGAGCTTGTTTCTACCATAAAATCAATACATTGACAATAAATCAAGCGATTGGGAGAATTTTATATAGAAAATGATCAATATTCGATCGAAAAGGTCTAAAAAAGCTCAAAAAATAGTTTTCCGGGTCAATACGCCTGATTCCAAGCAAGAAGCGGCACCCGTTACTACTTGGTCCGAGTCGACTTGGGAAGTTCCCAGTGCACTCGCACGTTGATGTAAACAATGTTTCAAACTCGACATGTGGATTTGAATCAATTTTAGGAGGGTATTAGAATTGGCCCAAGCCCCTTAAAAATTCCCCCTTTTCATATTTTGTTTCTTTCTCAAATTTATCTAATATTTCTAGATATTATATTTTCCTGCATGAACCTCTATTTTCATTTTTTGTTTTTATGTATTCCCATCGCACCGAAACCTTTATGGACACCAACCTAAAAAAAAGATGAAGAGGAAAATGAAATTAAGGATATAAAAAAAACAAAATCCGATACCATAAAATCAAATTCAATACATCATCACCGCCCATTTCTCACGAGTGTGTGATGGAGGGAGAGATTAATGATGATCACATAAGGGGGCTCTGTGGCATTTAGTAATTTGTAAGAGGCATGTATGGTATTGAAGGTGTTGGGGCGTTAGGCATATTAAGAGGGGTATATGAGAGAAGATGATGTGATTTGTGTGGGAGTGACACATAAGGGGGGTTGCATGGTGCCGCCGAATACAGGAGCGCCACGCACAAAACCCATCACTCTACTATTTCCCTCTCTTATTTCCCTAAATATGCCTTTAATTCATGACTTTCTCTCTCTAAAACCTCTCTCTCTCCATTAACTGCTCCTGCACTTCATATATAACTCCCCAACCCCTCCTCTTCTCTTACCCATTCCTCCTCTGGTTTTCTGCTTCTTTTCTAAAATTCAGAGCCCCTCTCTCTCTCTCTCTCTCTCTATCTACATCCAGAACCAGGATCTCTCTCTGCATATCCTTCTCATTCATTTCGATGGGAAACCAGTTTCTCAGTTAAGTTTTGTCTAATTCCAAGTCCAAATTATGGGCCGGCCGTCTACTCTCTGCTCAATGCTATTAATGTAAGAGAAATCGACCCATTTGTTTCTCTCTTCTCCTCTCTTTCTATTTATCCCTGGTCACATACAGAAAGCTTCCAAAAATGCCAGAGTTCTGTGCAGATAAGTCGCAGATGCATATTCAGAATGCCCTCTTCTCTGAGAAAGCCCCCGTCCTTTCGTCCTCGCCCACGGGGCGCCATCGTCTACTCCGCCTTAACATCGACGAAATACCCAATTCTTTTGATTTTGAAACGGGGAGAATACACCCCAATTCACCATTTTTCATTGCCTCCTACGATGAGGAGGATGATTTCATGGATCCTTATGCTTCTGATGCATTCCGTATGTTCGATTTCAAGGTGAAGAAGTGCGCTCGTGGACGAAGCCATGACTGGACTGAGTGCCCTTTTGCTCACCCTGGTGAGAAGGCCCGTCGCCGGGACCCGAGACGCTTCCATTACTCGGGTGTTGTGTGCCCTGACTTCCGCAAGGGGAGTGGTTGCAGGCGTGGGGAGGCATGCGAGTTCGCACATGGTGTGTTTGAGTGCTGGCTGCACCCGGCTCGCTACCGGACTCAGCCCTGCAAGGACGGGCGCTCCTGCACCCGACGCATCTGTTTCTTTGCCCATACCCCTGCCCAGCTCCGAGTCCTGCCCCCGGGCATGAGTAATGTTTGTTGCTGCCATTTCAGTGGACTCTCTCTCACTAGAAAAGGTCCTCTCTCTTGCAATTCAGGCGTTTCTTTCTCTGACGGTGTGAAACTTGCATGCAAGTATGTGGCTTCGTCGCCGACTTCAACTCTCTCTCTGTTATCACCGCCGCGATCACCTTCTCTCTCTCCACCACTCTCCCCTGCAGAGGCAGGGTCCAGCCGGGTTTCACCTTTATCCCTCTACCAGAAGTCGGCGCCAATGCATATCCCTTTGAATTTTCAGAGGAATAAGATGATTGCAGAACTGTGTAAGTCTCTCGAAGTCATGGAATTCTCTGAGCAAAATGGTCATGGGTGGTTCAATTCTCCACAAAGCTTCATTTCGTCTTCCTCGCCTTCTCTCTCTTCAACTCCTCCTCCTGTCAGCTTTACCCGTGGCTCATTTGAGCCGAATGTAATACCGGAGGAGAGTGAGAAAGCGGTAGGTAACATAAGTTTTCCGGATTTGGATTGGGTGGATGAGCTTGTTATGTAAAAAAAAGAAAACCCGACGTTTCAGTTGTATAAAGTTTCAGATCATATGTCCGGCGTCTGCAACATACGCCTGCGATTGTTCACTCTGTTTTTACCATTCAGTCAGTTTTAAGTTGAGTGAGTCCATCCTCCTTTTAGATGGAGAGTATTGAAGAAATATCTTTCCGTCTTTTCTTTGTAATGATTCTGTTTAGTCCATAAATTAAGGATTTATTGACCATTTCACGATTTTCTCCTTATTATTCTCTCCCTTAATTCAAGGATTTTTTAAGCGGCTTCATGATTTTGTCTCCCTCCATCCCCTCAGGGGACTGACTACATCGGGTGGCAACACGGGCATGGCCGAACAACCGATGGCTTATGGCTCTGGACCGAGCAACCCATGGCTCAGTCTAGGCCCTTGTACTTATGAGCGAAACCTAAGCCAGGCCTCCCTCTTATGACAGGGCCCGGCCAACCCTAAATGAAATAAACAAAGAAGAAAAAGTGTCCCTGGTCGCATAGGCCCTTGTCATTATGAGCGAAACCTAAGCCAGGCCTCCCTCTTATGACTAGGCCCGGCCAACCATAAATAAAATGAACAAAGAAGAAAAAGTGTCCCTGGTCGCATTCGGCCATCAGGCCCATAGTATGTGGTCCAAACCCTTTCTTTATTTTATGGTCTGGCAGAGCCCGGGAGGCTTGGCCCGTCTTTATTTTATCTCTCGGCCGAGCCCGGGAGTGGCCCAGCCCGGGAGGCCAACCCCTTCTTCATTTTATGTCTCGGCCGAGCCGGGGAGGCGGCTCTTCGTCCATCGAATTGGGAGTTTGTAATTACTTTTATTTTTCTGATTAAATTTCTTATTTTTTATTTTTGTTATTTCTCCCTTGAGAAAAGAAATACGAAAGAATTTAGTTTCTTTATTCCTACTAAATAAAGGATATTTTTTCTCTATATTATCGAGAAGAAAAATAACATTCGAGCACCAAATCGATTTTTTGATATTTTAATACTTAATATATGAAATTTATGTGTATATCTAGTTGGGATATTTGTATTTTCATTGTTGTACGCTAGGGTTTATTGAGGATGCTGTTAGGGATGGAGGGAGCAGCATGGGAGGATGAGATTTAGATTGTTGCGTTGGGTGGGGCAAATATTATTATATTATTTTATATAAATTATTAAAAATTTTAAAAGTTAGAGATATTTTTAAGGATAAAGGACTGGCACTCTATTTTCTCTGCGTCCGTCCTATTAGAGAGGAAATTTTGATTTGAATTATCTTATCCCGTTATGTACACAAAACCCGGTCGCCATGGTTTGGGTACATGGGTACGGATAAGTGGAATTCAGATTCCATATTTTGCTCCTATTTGTTAGTTTTGGGTTTAGGGTTGGTTTGAGAAAATCAAGGACCCGGTTTTTATGAGCCCCCGCCCCCCACTCTCACTATTTTTATGGGTCCTCCCTTGAACACTCATTATTTGTGTCGTTTTAGATCAAAACTTGTAGTGATTTATGATCTACACTATGATGGTCATGAATATGAAAAGTAAACTATAATACAATAAAATTTTAAAACATTTTTATTAGAGTTTTTTTTTCCTATCCGTAGGAAATTTTAGTTGTGATGTTCATATTAAAAATAGACGTTTGTGATTGTGTGCGGGCTGATGAGTTGGCTGACTCACAAAATACTTTTTTGAAAATTAATTAAGAGAATAATAAATAAATAGACACTATTTGTCTTGTGGAGTGGAATTGAGATGGTACTATACTACTCGGAAGAGGAGGGAAGAAGGGACTTCTACTCTAATGTCTCCTTAGCCACCTTAACTTTAATATTTGCATTTTCCTCTAAAATCCCACTCTTCAACCCTTTCTAGGAAAATGTTACACTACATATTAAACATAGGCATTCTGATTATCAGTCGTATGTATTCTGATTATCAGTCGTTTTTTATTAATAAACTAAGATATCATATAGTTTGATTAAAGTAAGTAGTTTGATGAAAATAGATGGCTAGGATTTTAGGCACAACATGGACGTGATCTTTATTTTTTACATTTTTGCAAACTATCTTGAAATTAAAATTGGGAAAGTTTCGTAGGGTATCCTAATTCCCAGCTCATTTCAAAGTAGACCTCTATTCTGTATCTTATTTCAAATTAGGCCTCTCTTCTGTCTTTCGAGCGCATAAAAAAAACCTATAGATTTCATATTACCCCTTCATCTTTTATTTTCCTGTTTTATTCACTTTTGAATATAAAAATAAGCTTCAACAAAGTATTCTGTACTACTTTAACTCAAAAATTATTTTTACCATGCTTTTTCCCTTTCAATCTCATATATTCAACTCACCGCATTCCAAAACTTTTATTTTATTTTTTCTTCTATTTAGTCCCGCATCATTTCACACTCTCTCAATTCACCACTTTACAGCCGGTTCCTTTCTCTCTCTAAACCTCTCTCTCGCTAATAGACATGTACTATGTGATTTCTCTTTAGTAGCAATATACAATGTGATTTCTCTTCAAATTTAACAGCTGGTTCTTTTTTTTTTGTTTTTATTTTTTAAATATACGATGTGATTTCTATGTAATAGCCATTAAAATTTATAGCTGGTTTCTCTTCTAATGGCCATTACTGTATTGACGGGAACGAGAGAGAGATAACCATGGTGAATTGAGAGAGTAGGAGATCTTATGGAGTTGAAAAGGGTAAAAACATGATAAAAGAAAAAAAGTTTTTGAATTGAGGTGGTATAAAATAATTTGTTAGGACTAACTTTTATGTTCAAAAGTAAATAAAATAAAAAAGTTAAAGATACATTGAAATCTTTAGGAGCTTTTTTTATCCATGAAAATAGATTACTTAGACAAATCTATTTCTATTGAAATACATCTCGAGAAAAGTATTTTTTATGAAATACATTTCTGCTCTTTGGATGCTATATGGATGTATAACATTTCCATTTTTTTTTTAATTTTGATTAAATATTTGTATTATATTATTCATTATAATATTTTTTTTTATATTAAATTTGAGATAGTTTCTCTCTCTAAAATTTTAAGATAGTTTCTCTCCTTAAAACTTTAAATTTGAAATAACTTTTCTCTCTAAGATTTTTAAGATAGTTTCTTTTACAAAAAATGTTTAAGTACTTTTTCTCTCTAAAAACTTAAAATTTGAAATAATTTTTCTCTCTAAAATTTTTTAAGTACTTTCTCTCTCTAAAATTTGATATAGTTTGTCTCTCTAACGGTTTAAGATACTTTTCTTTCTAAAACTTAAAATATGAGATAGTTTCTCTCTCTAAGAATTTTGAGATGGTTTCTATCTTTTAAAATTTTAAAATACTCTCTCTATAAAACATACAATTTGAGAAAGTTTGTTTCTTTAAAATTTTTGATATAGTTTCTCTCTCTAAAAAAATTTGAGATATTTTATCTCTCTAAAAATTTTCAAATACTTTATCTCTCTAGAACTTAAATTTAAGATAGTTTCTTTTGATATAGTTTCTTTTTCTAAAAAATTTGAGATATTTTCACTCCTTAAAAATTTTCAAGTACTTTTCCCTGTCTAGAACTTAAATTTAAGATAGTTTATTTTGATATAGTTTATTTTTTGAGATAGTTTCTCACTCTAAAATTTGATATAGTTTCTCTCTCTAAAATTTTAAGATACTTTTTCTATCTAAAACTTAAAATTTGAGATAATTTATTTTTTTAAAATTTTTTAGAAGTTTCTCTTTTTAAGTTTTTTTAGTACTTTATCTCTCTAATACTTGAAATTTAATACAGTTTCTCTCTCTTAAGAATTTTCAGGCGCCTTCTCTTTATAAAACTTAAAATTTGCAATAGCTTCTCTCTAAAAAATTTGATATAGTTTTTCTCTCTAAAAGTTTTCAAGTACTTCCTCTCTCTAAAATTTAAAATTTGAGATAGTTTTTCTATCTAAATTTTTTAAGATAGTTTCTCTCCAAAGAATTTTAGATACTTCTCTTTCTAAAATTTGATATAGTTTATCTATCTACAATATTAAGATATGTTATCCGTAAAACTTAAAAATTTGAAATAGTTCACTCTATAAAAATTTTGAAACAATTTCTCTCTAAAATTTTTCGATAGTTTCTTTCTTTAAAACTAGAAATAGTTTCTCTCTCTAAAATTTTAAAGTACTTTCTCTCTCTAAAACGTAAAAGTTGAAATAATATCCCTCTCTAATTCTTGGGTATGCTTTTGTAAAATTATTTATATTTTATAAATTGAATGTCTCTATAACAGTGAAATCTAGCTGGAAATTAATTTTGGAGGGTAAATACAATGATATAGATTTCTTTATTTTTGGGTTGAAATGAAGAAAAAAATTATGGACGGAAATACATTTCAATCCCAAAATTTCGTTTCAAACGTAAGAAATGTGCCATTTCCACTGAAATACATTTCTGGAAATGTATTTCCAAGTAACCAAACAGCCCTTTAAAGATTTTCTTATACTGCTTGAAAGTTAAATGATAAAAAGATCTATGTCAGAAATAGATAATTTGAATTCCGTACAAAATTCCCAAAAAATTTGATAAAAAGGTCTACTGAAATGAAATAGAGAATTAGGATTCCGTAGGAAATTCCCATAAAATTTTACGTCCCCCCTCTCCTAAGAGTAAATAAAACAAAAAAATATTTCTAATGATAAAAGGACTAAGATACCCATGTAAATTATCGCTGCTTTTTTATTAATAAAAATATATTTTTGTAATTTTATTTGGTGTGTTCCAGTAAGATTTGGGACATTCTAAATTTCATCTCTAAATGATTTGTTAAAAATATTAAAATAAAAAAAATTATGAATCATGGGATCAAAATCAGATGAACAGAGGCCAACTAGTGATCAAAATCAAATAAACAGTGGCCAACTGATGACATTATGACTGACGCAATTTCCAACATTATGTAAGTCGAGTGACTAGTATTACAATCACTTATATTTTGTATGGAGGTGGAACAACATCAAAAGGCCTCCCAAACCTTAATAGAACGCATTTTAACTATTTCCTCTACAATTATTATCAATGATAATTGTTATTTATTTATTTATGAGTTATTCAACTCATATACTTTCTGAAAAGAAACATGTCAAGGGCCCTACCTGCTTTTTCAAATAGATTAAGAGTTAAATTTTTGAAAATATCAGTAGGTGGTGTCTCTAGGAACTTAAACCATGTGGTAACTAAGTATGAGAGTACTACCAC